ATCTGTGCCTTGCCACAGTTCTGTCTCTGAGCTCTTCAGGCAGTTCCTTTGACCTCATGATTCTCATTTGCTCTGACATGCAGTGTGAGCTGTAGGGTCTTATATAGACAGGTGGGTGGCTTTCCTAATCACGGTCAATCAGTATAATCAAACACAGCTGGACTCAAATGAAGGTGTAGAACCATCTCTGGGATGATCAGAAGAAATGGACAGCACCTAAGTTAAATATATGAGTGTCACAGCAAAGGGTCTGAATACTTATGACCATGTGATATTTCAGTTTTTCTTTTTTAATAAATCTGCAAAAATGTCAAAAATTCTGTGTTTTTCTGTCAATATGGGGTGCTGTGTGTACATTAATGAGGAAAAAAATGAACTTAAATGATTTTAGCACATGGCTGCAATATAACAAAGAGTGAAAAATTTAAGGGGGTCTGAATACTTTCCGTACCCACTGTATATCACAAAAATTGAATATTTGTTTGGCCCTCACTTCGCCCTTGGTGGTCAAAAATTGGATGAAGAAATGCAGCTTTAATCATGTGCAGCTTCTATCAAAAACACGTGATAAATGTTAGCAATGGTAACCCTTAGAACTGAAACCCGAGACTAAATGGTAGCCTGAACAGTTTCCTCTTGTTCTGGCCGAGGCTGGATAACCAACTAAGCAAAGCGGGCCAATGCCCAGGGGTCCTCGAAAACCCAGTTTTACAACATATCAGATATGATTAATCACAAATATGGTAGAAATTTAAACATAACATCTGTTATGGCAGGTCCTCTATCTTATATGTCAAAACCTAACATGTGAACTATGTTGGTCTCTACTGCCGTCACTCAACATTTAACCAATCCACTTCCTTTTATTGCTGTGTAAAGACTTAACACACAGAAACCATAGGGCAAGGTGGTATTATGCCCTCACAGGGGTACTGCAAGGATGTAATGAGCACTTATGTTCCTTATCGATAGGTCTGACAGCTTTCTTTAACAGCTGATTGTTCAGCATAGGAAATGACAGAAAATTATGAAAAATGTCATCATTCTTGGAGCACAAGTTAGTATACTGAAATTATTGTTGCCACCAAAACCCCCAAAGATGTTGAGTTTGCTGCATAGAACAAGGGTTTTGAAACTGTGGTACGAGGGCCCCTGGTGGCCCGTGAAGGGCATCACTTTTTTAAAAACACATTTCCATGGTTTGTGAATAACCAATTTATGTATATGAGGAAAGCCACGATGATTTTTTTTTTTTTAAGAATAAAATTGTGCCCATCCAGTCAAGCCACCCAACAGTGGTCCTCACCATGCTTCTTAGAACAATGGCCCCTGGATTAATCAGTCGAAATCTGGGATGGAAGGTGTAGCTTCTTTTTCCTTCAAAGAGAATATGTAACATTCATCATCTTTTCAAGTTAATTTTTTCTCAAACAACCTGAATAATCAACTAAACATCTCACCTGGCTGGTTCCACTGTCTGGGGCAAATAAAAAAGCTGCCATGCACAATTTCTGATCATGGAACAGCCTATGGGTTAATGTGGTGATGAGACCTCTGCTTGGATGATGCTGGTAACTGTCAAACTACACATACCAACAACAAAGATTGTGTTGTCAGATCCAACAAAAACAGAAAGGAGGGGTCCATCTGTGCACACCCAGTGAGGAGAGTTCTTCCATTTGCAGTTGTGTGAGCTTAACCGTCAAAGTAACACAACAAATTGCCATCAAGTTTTATTTTCATAAATGCTTTCACACTTATTAAAAGTTAATTCATTCCCACTGTAAATAAAGACAATATTCAGAGTG